GTCGAAAGCGAGGGCTAAATGAGGAGTGATGAGTGACTGAGAAATGGGCATAAGCTCATCAGGAGAAGGGAGTTGGTCCTCCCATTTAGAAAACCAATTGGAATCCTCACCCATCATTTCTCGTAATTAATATCGCTGGGTGTGAATAAAAAAATCCAGTCTTTTTCGAGTCAAATTGACCGGAGGGGTCGCCGGAAATTCAAGAACGGCGATGGAGGGTTACTTTGGGCAGACGAAGGTGGTCGGAAAAAGAGAGTTTTGCGGTGGTGGGGGGAGGGGTGGGGGGTGGGTGGGGGTCTTGGATCGAGGAGGATCTTGGTGGTTTCTTCCTATCAGCTTTTATTACTCCGTATGTTGTTAATTTTTATACTGCTGCAGCGGATGGATGCCTTTCTTATGATTTTTAATGAAATTTTGTCTTTGTATGGAACAAAAGTGGTTGGCTGGTGCCTGGTGGCAATGACCACTAGATTTAGTATTCTACCCATCCATCCCAACGTTTAAAACACACTCTTTCCCTCTCAAAAATTTACACTAAATAAGATTATATACGAGTAATATATAGGAATTCACACTTTGGTATTGTAGTATATTCATTTTACGTAATGTACATGATCATAATTGATAATGTAAATACATTATAACCCTAATTTCGGAAATAAAAACATAGAACTTTTATTTCGGTATATTTTCAATATTTTATTCCTCTTTAGTCTTTTTCCAAAAAAATATCATAGTATAACCTATTTTTAGTCAAATTCTATAATAATTTAATCATAAATTATAGAGAAAGTATATTTAGTTATAATATAAATTTACTAAAGTTGGGTTGGTTTTAAAATATAATTTTGATATATAAATTTTTTATAACATTTTTCATAATTAAAGTTGTTACTTGTGCAATCTAATTTAATAAAAATAAATAATGAGTAATAAGAATAAGTTGAAGAGAAGAGATTTTAAATAACGAAGAAGCGCTTAAGCCTTTTTTACCGTGCAATAATTGTACACGTAATGTGCATTCATTTGTATTGAGTGCGTATCTTAAATTCAGTTAACGATTTATTTCCTGCTATGTAGGTATCCATTGATGAATGATTATGCGGTACTGATGAAATTTAATCCAGAAAAGTATGAGGTAATATTAAACGACAAGACACAAGAAATGTAGAGATATGAAACTATATGTGTACCCGCACGGGTAGCCCAAGTGGCAAGCACTTGGTGAAGTTTGGAGAATGACCAAGGATCGAAACCTGGCAGCGACTGTTGTGGAGGCGACCACCTCTGAAAAATGGGGGGAGTCTCTGGTGCGCACTAGGATATGGTCTAGCTAAGTGTTGTGCTTGGGTCTCCGTGATTTACCTCCTCTCACAATCCCGTCGGGTCAGGGGTGAGGGGCGCCCGGGGTGAGCGATTTCACCTTTTTTGGAGAATGAAACTATGTGTGTGTGTGTTTATATATATATATATATATATATATATATATATATATATATATATATATATATATATATATATATATATATATATATATATATATATATATATATATATATATATATATATATATATATATATATATATATATATATATATATATATATATATATATATATATATATATATATATATATAT